AACGCATGCAAAAATGACTTGCGTTTCTTCATTGTTTCAAACCTCAGTTCGTTCTGCGGCTAATGAAACCGCGTTCGGGCCCTTTGGTATACTGCTCGATGCGGTGCAGTCCTTACTCATCAAATGCCTTCTTCATCTGCACAGCGTTTTGTAGACCGCCATAGCCTGAGCTATTTCGATATACTACCGAATCAATCGTTTTTAGGACGATGGGATTGTCTTTCTTCGCTAATTTGCTATTCTAAAGAGCTTTTGGAAGATCTTGGAACCTCTCCTCCTCCTTTCTGAAGATTTGGTATTTTCATTTGAAAAAAGATGTTAATAGAAAGAAGCTCTGTGCACCGTTTTCACGGCTTGAAGTTAGAAAATCCCGACCACAGCAATTCGCAACTTCCTAACCTTCGAATGGCAAGTCTGGGGTATACCTGGATTGGAGAGTTGGCCTGTAAAAATATAGAAAAAATGTTGACAGCGGTAATTTTTTTCTTCTCCAATCACATTTTCGAGAAATTAAGGTATCTAAGGCCGAGTCAGAACTGCTTGAGCGTATTGCCTATCATGAAATGAATTATCATGACAAACAAGATGATAATCTATTTTCTTATCTGCACTCTGACCGGTATATAAAGCAGCATTCAAAGATGTTTCTCACTTTTACGCATTGGTTTGCACTTCTGATCTACTTATTCGCCATGCGAAAAACTATCCAAGTCGTCGGACTTCTCATCCTTCTTGTGGCAGTAGCAGATGCCGAAATAGTATCTGCCAATAAAACAGATACAGCACAAGGAGGAAGCACGACAGTAGCTCCCTCAGGAAAAGAAGACACGAAGACTGAGGCACCCTCAGGAGGAGAAGACACGAAGACTGAGGCAGCTCTCGCAGAAAGCACTACAAAGACAAAGTTGGGTAGAATGGAAGACTCTATCATGGCAGCACTGATTGCAATTGGAGCGGTTTTTATTTAGTTCCGTGAAAAGATGGCTTTTGCCAATGTATTGTGCCAATAAATAAAGTTTTTGGCAGCGAGTGTGTACTATTCAATATTCATCTGAGGAGCTGAATCGGAAAACAACATTGTTCAGAAATTGGATCGTAGGCCTATTGTACGTGCAGGCCAAATTATGAGGCAGCTAGTGTAGCTTGAGAACCCAGATACTGTATGAAATAGAGGCTACTAGTTGATGAAGGATGATTGAGCTCGAACCTTCGTCTCATACTTTACACATGGCGTAAGGCGCCGAAAATGCTTGCGTTGTAGATTGGCATGACCTTTGTCGGCATCTGCTCAAATAAGTCAGGGGAACTTCTGTAGGACAAGCCAAATTTGCAGAAGTTCCGCGAGACTTTGTTTACTGTTGCAAAAATGAAAACTTTGAAAATG